AAATTTAAAGATTATAAAGAAAATCTTTTTATTATTATTATTATTATCTGTAAATTTAATTATATGATAGTTATCAATCATTGTTATCTGTTGAAATACTATTTTAGAATATGATGAAAAATATTTAGATTTTCTGTTGATGATCTAATCAAATAACGAGATATGAAGAGAAAAAAAAAGAAAATGTGTAGGAAGTATGGTATTTACGTATTTTTCTATTAGTAAGAAAAAACAAGTACAAAATTTAATATTTAAATAAAATAATTATTTTAGATAAAGCAAATATATTTCCTTCCTCAGTTAATTCATATCCATATGTTTTTGCCTTTTATTTATATTTGATTAAACTCAAAAATACGTAAATCAATCTATATAACTATTTTAGAATTTTCATTTTTTGTTATAATATATAATTAAATTAATTAAACATACTTAATGTTGTCAGAGTTGATGAACTATTTTCTCTCATAAGTAATGTTTCTGTAATAGATGTATTATCAGTAACAGTAAGTGAATCATTTTTAAGTATTTGACAAAAATGTCGTTGAATTGTATCTTGTACACTTAATTGTGTTTGAAGTTTATTTGTTGATAATGATGTTTGTTGTTCATCAGAACTTTGTGTTGTAAGATTAGCAATAATTTTTCGTGAATTTTTTCGTTGTTCACGTATCGATGTATTATTACGAACTTAAAAGAAAAAAAAACAAAATACAAAAATAAATATTATTACTTAATAGTTTTTTTTTGTTTTTTTACTTACTAAATGAAGATGTTTGATGATCAACACCAAAAATTTTTTGTAATATTGTTGCTTGTCGTGTATTAGCTGGTGTTATATTTTCATGATATGTTGTTGTTCGACGTCGTGATTGTGGATAATGATGATGATGTAAATGAGCTTGTTCACGTCGTTTAATATATTCATTTGCATTATCTGAATCACCATTTGATGATGAATAAATTCCACATTCTTGATTTATCCAACGACGTAAATCTCTGAGAATAACAAAAAATTTTAAATATATAAAATTTATTTTTTTTTTTTGTAATTTTATACTTTATAAATGGTATAACCATAAAAAAAGCTTTTGAATTAAGACCTAATGTAACTTGTGGTGTTGTATCACGTCTATGACATGGTAAATCAGATATACGAAACCAACGCATTTCCTAAAAGAGATAATTTTTATTTACTTAATTACAAATAGGTATACAAACAAAAATATTTCGTGTATCGAATATTTTGATTAGAAAAAGTATCATCAATAGATCTTTATGTAAAATATTTATGAAATGAATGTTTATCTTCGGGACTTAGAAAAAAAGACTTCTTTTTTTTTGACACTGTTAAAATTAATACATAAAGATTCCCATGTTACTATTATGTAACAAATAGAATTCTTCAATTTGATGTAATCTCTGAAGTATAAAGAAGTTGTTATTGTCTAGGATAGTCTTAGCATGAATTTCTTCTACTACACTAAATGTGAAGTAAGATGATTTTATAAATTTGACAAACTACTTATGAAAAATGATTAATTTTTATTCGATGATTATAATAAAACTAAGAGAATTAACCTTTTTTTTTCTAAAATGTTTAAATTTATCTTGATATCACAACTAAACATATCGAACTATCAGACATTTGTTAGAATTAATAAAGATTTTTGACTACGGACGAAGAAATTTCTTTCAATGATTAATTACTTTTATTTCACGATAGTACGCATCATTTAGAATCTAATGAGCTATGAATACACACTGAAAAAAAAATCTCCTACTGTTGCTTTATTAATACCAAAACTATGCATGTTTTATATTAAAGACTTATGAGGGAAGGTCACCAACTGTTCAATCGCTTTTGAGTCGTAACTATGTGCATCATGTAGGTCCTAATGAGCTATGAATATCCTGAAAAGAGTTCAAGCCGCTAGCTTATTATTGTCGAGATACTGCATTTTTGTGGTATCAATACCGTGGAACCAGAAAAACTGAGTTTCGAATTTTGACTTGAAACAGGCCTCAGTGAGAGTAGTTTATTGTGAAAGTTTTAGGTCTTTTGGTTGTTCCTATCCTAATATGCAGCTAAAAAGGGTGTTTTTACAGTGCTCATATACCCCCCGACGGGTTCCGATGTTCTTATTTCAGAATAGGAACAACCAAAAGATCTGAAACTTTCACAATAAACTACTCTCATTGAGATCTGCTTGTGTGTCAAATTCCAAAACTCAGTTTTTCTGGTTCTACAGCATTGATACCACAAAAATGCAGTATCTCGACAATAATAAGGTAGCGGCTCGAACTCTTTTCAGGGTATTCATAGCTCATTAGAACCTACATGGTGCACACAGTTACGACTCAAAAGCGATTGAACAGTTGATGACCTTCCCTCGTTAGTCTGTATAAGAAACATTGGACAAATTCCTTTTCGAATTTCGACCGAAAATATTGCACTGAAATAGACTTTAAACTGAATAGTTTCAAATTGATTTGTCTAATTTCATTCTATTGTAAGAATATCAAATCTATCAATGTAAAAGTTCAAGTTAACATTTTCAAAAGTCAATTTTTCCGATTTTTGATATAAAATATGCGAAATATTTCATAGTAATGAAGTAACAGCAGGAGACTTTTACACAGTGTATTTATAACTCAATAAGATTTCAATAATGAAAATTGTTTTGAATTAAAAGTAGTTTATCATTTAGAAGAATTTACTATAAATTATAAGATTTTCATCTTTCCGAATTACTTGAATATTCTATTATTTTACGTGTAAGATATAACTATTTCTTTTTTGTTTTGAACACTCAATAGAACGATCATAACTTTGAAAATCATCAATACAAATTTATTTTTTAGTTAAACTAGAATCTATTGCATTCCATAGAAAATATATATTACTTTAATTTCATTTTTTGTTTTAGCAGCAAATTTAGTATCAAGTGGTACATGTTTAATAATATATAATCGAATAAGTTGTCCATTAAGATCACGTTCTAAATATTGATCATCAAAAGCACGATCTTTCATATCAAAACCAACTTCTTCCATAACCTCAAAAAAAAATTTTTTTTTTTATCAATACATTCAACAAAAACAAAACAAAATATTACTTCTCGTATAGCACATTTTAATGGACTTTCATTTTCTTGTACTTTTCCTTTTGGAAAACCCCAACTTTCACGATTATAAAATCCTCGTACAAGTAAAACATGTTCATATGTTGGATCTAATAAAACTGCACCATATGTTGGTACACTTAATTTATAACCACGCCAACGTGATAGAATTATATCAAGATTATGAACATAATCACGTAAAAATGGACAATGTAAAAAAACTAATTAATAAAATAGAAATTTTTATTTTAATATTTTTGTTTTTTTTATTTACTTTGTTGAGCAAATTCTTTTATATTGCATACATGTAAATCATTATAATCTTCACAATAAAAATCAATAAAAAACCAATGAGCTAATTCAACAGCAAATAATACACGAACAAGATCTTCACGTTGTTCAGCTGGGATATTTATAATAAAACGACTATAGCAAAAAAAAGACAAATTTTGTTTTTTTATTAAAATATAATAATACCTGCATAAATCGTCTAAAACTTTAGCTGGTATTTGTTGATGTTGATCTGGTGACATTATTTTAGATGATGATAAATTTAAAAGAAAGGGACGGATGGAAGAAAAAAAAGGATTTGGGAACTGTTTGAAAGATAGTTTTACATCTGAAAAAAGGGAAAAAAACCCAAATGAAATAATAACGAATTATTTAAAGAAAAAAAAAAATATATTTGCAGCACATGACAAAATAATGAATAATCATGTTTTGACAGACTCAATCCTATGTTCGTGCTCCTCTCCATACGGATTGGATCAAATGATATATATATTGGTAAACTATGGATTGATACACATGATGTTTATTTTTTTCTTGTGTTTTATTCTAATAATATGGAAATTATTTTATCTATGATGAATTTTTTTGTAAGCAAATTTTTTCGATTGAATAAAAAAAAGAAAACAAACAAATATTTTTTTTTTGTTTAAAATTTTAGAAAGAAAAAATTATTATTATAATTTGTTTAATTAATTTTGTTATATAAACGAAAAATAAAGATTTAAAATTCGAATTACACTTTTCTCTCTCTCTCTCTTTCGATTATATTTATTTAGAATGTTCTTTCAGAAGGGGGTAAGAGGAAGTGATTATCAGTAGATGATTGTACTTTGATCTTTTCTAATCGAAATTGAATATTTACCCTGAAAATATGAGATTCAGCGCACCCTACACATTTCTTGAACGAATGAAGTTTGTGAACTCGGCAGTGTTTTATCCAAGATTTTTTCTCCGGAGGGGCGATTTGAATTTCCGAGGGGGGGGGGGCAAGCCATGTATTCATAGCACGATTATCACAAGTCTCGGGAGGGCGAACTCGGTTTTTGGGGGGCGCCGGGCACGCCTCTGGATAAAACACTGGAACTCAAACTCGACTAATTCTTGCTTTTGTATAGAATATTTTTATGATCAAATTTGTATTTTGATTAAAAATTTTGAAATTTAAAATGCAAAATAATCTGTATTAGTTTAATTTTTTTTGCTCATGGAAAGTTTCATTTCAAATCTTGTGCATAATCTGATTTCAGAATGAAATTATGAATATATATTCGAATATTTTATGGCAAGTTTTTTCGCATCATAATAGGACTTTTAATCATAGGGATTTTTTTGTATTAAAAATATGAAAATAGAATTGATTTTTTTTTTTTTTAATAAATTTCTATGATATAAAGACAAATATTTAAATCAAGATAAATTATCAAATATACTAATCCTTATAATCTTCATTTATTTAAAGATTTAACTATAGAAATAATTGTAATACATAGATCATCATCAGTGAAATATTTTATCAATATGTAATCTTGTTTTTTTTTTGTAGATGAAATTTTTATTTAATATGAAATTGCATTTATATAAAGAATGAATAATTCGTAAGTTTAATTTGATTATATATATATAAAGAAATTTTTTTAGTTTTATCTATTCAAATGAAATAATTTAGAATTCCTTCTATTAATAGTCTTTTATTAAATTTAAAATCTACAGTTGAATTATTAATTCAATTTCGAGGTGATTCATTAACAACAAAATATGGTGCAATTGAAAGATTTCGATTAGTTATTTTGGCTATTCTTACACATTGTCTTAAACAAGTATGTTATGATTTCATATATGAATAATAGAGATTTGATCTTTTTTGGAAGAAAATCATATCTACTATTCATGTTTTATCGTTAAGTTTCAATAGACATTTGTGGTTTTTATCATCATTCAAGAGAATAGACTCTATATCAATCAAATGAGTACTTAGTAAAAAAACGATATTTTTAGTTTTTGAGAGTTTTCAATTAGACAAATATATTGTATTCAAACCTAACTCATGTTTTATTATAAAACATGATATAAACGTACTGTTTAAGTGCATGTGTCAAAAGTTTACTTCCTCCCACTCCCACAAACTACGACAGACATTAACATATGAACCAGAACACATAAATAATGTCTCGTTACAATAATATGAAGTTTTTTCTTATTATATTTGTAAAGAATTGAGTAAAAACATAGTATATAGAAATATGTCCCAAAAATAGATAATATAAAACAATCTTTCTATGATTAGTAACAACAGCCACATTGTGTTTCATATCTTAATCCCATAGGACTTGTACTAACAGTTTTTTCTTATTACCTTCGGTCCACTGATCAATGTATTCATATTTTGGATAGCTAAATAAAATAAAAAAATTGCCAGAACATGTTAATAATTATTTACTGTCATCATCAAGATATTGAATATATATATATTAGATTAAATTGTTTTACATGGAAAAATTCGAAAAACAATATGATTATATTGCTTTTCTAAGTCTAGTTTTTTTTTTTCTTTTTACTGATAATATATATGATTTGTAGTTATATTCGTTTTACAAAATAATATAATATTGAAAATAGTTGTATAATAAATATTATAAAATTTAAAGTAAAAATTGATTATAATTAATTATAAAAAAGGTAAACTAGATTTTACGAGTCAATGATCTATTAATAATTTTCTAGTATATATCATGAAAAATTTTCGATTAAAATATGATTTCTTCGTTGTTTGGTTTTCTTTTTTTATTCTTTTGATAAGAATATAATTTAATGTGAGAGAGAGAGAGAAAGCATTTGATATAAAGACAAATCTATTATCCCTTAAGAGCTATTTCCTTTTTCTTCATTCATAATTCAATTGAATTCTTAAAAATAATACTAATTAATGCGTAGACAAATAAAAAAAAGCTCGATTGATAGTTATATCTCTTTAGAAAACTAAAGTCAATTATATAGTAAATAAAAAAAAATTGATTTTGAATAGATTTTCAAAAATTAAAACAAGAAAAATTTCATAATTCATAAAATTATGATATTGAATAGATTAAAAAAAACACTTAAAATAATCTATGCACTAACTATTCTTTTGTATTAAATAAGTCTTAATAAAATAGCAGAAATGATTTGCATTTATTTACAGTTGAGAAATATTAATTTCATTTTTAGATCTGTATTATATGTTGTTGTTGTTTTTTTACTTAAATATATTTTATCATAAAATTTAATAAAATCTTCATTTATATCGTAATTCATCTTGTAATCAAAAACAAAATGAACTATGTGAAAATTATTCGAAATTTGAATAAATAGTTCTAATATAAATCAATAATTATATTGATCATTAAACATATAAAAATTTCGATGTTCATTATTATATCAATGAAATTAGAATTATTAATAAAGAATAGATATATATATACAGACATGATAATTAATAAGAATATAAAATGAACGTGTCATATATATCCGAGTATGACTAGACTAAAATAGATTTTTTAGATCTTATTTTTAATTATAACATTAAAATTCTACAAAAAGAATTCGACTCCTAGATTCTTTCTCTCTCTCTATATGTTTTTTTTTTTGTTATTGATAGAATACACAAGATATCTATGAACAATTATGGCAATTAATTGTACGTTTAAATGCAAATTCTCAACGATATATACGTTTACTACAAGATATATATCATAAAGAAAATATTCGATTATCAGTTGAACAATGGATTGATCAATCAGTTATAAGTCAATGTTTATCTCAACAATTATCCTGTGCTGAACATGATAATGATTTACTTGAACAATATTATTATCGTAAGTTTTTTTTTCAAGTTTCTTTTTCGTTTTTATTTATTCTCTGCTGTTTGGAATAAACATTTTTAAGATGATTTATTTTTTGTTTTTAAAAAGTAAACACATATACGTCTAACGTCGACGACCAATATAAGGACGCATATTTTTTGTAAAATGATGTTTCGAATCGGGAATAAGAAGAATATAATCACCATTACGAACAATATAAAAACCTGTACCACGTTCATTACGTTCTAAATAAATATTGTCATTATCATTAATCAAAGTTTTTTTATTTAACAAAAACCAATCTCGATGTTTAATATCATTGTTGTCGTTGTCGGTATTTTTATTGTTAATTATTGATAAAGATGATGAATAAAATGGATAGGCATTTGACATAGATGGTAATATACAGCAAATGAATAAAACAAATAATAGGAGTATGATGACGCGGCTATGCGATGAAGAAATTTTGTTAGCCGTTGTAACGAAGAAGAAGAGCATTGATTGATGTTGCATACTCTTCTTCTTCTTTCCTTGTTTTTTTAATGTGTTATTGGACTGTATGGTTCAACGTTCTTCGTGTTTTTATTCTATGCTGATATAATAGAGAAAAAAAAAGGATATAATGAAATAGACAGATGATAGATAGATAGGAAAAGAAATAGTGAATGATGGATTCGAAGTGTTATATTTTTATGATTCTCAATATATACGGACAACAATCGTATTATTTTTTTAGTTTTCTCGTGGGAATACGATATGATCTTTAATTGTGAATGAAACGAAAGAATTTTTCAAATAGAGAAAAAAGATAATAAAATAGTGCGAGTCTTTTTTTAAATAGTAGTTCAAATTACATAAAAATGATGTTGACTAATTTATTTCTCAATTATTTTGTCTTTGCTTACGTGTTAATGTTAATAGAAAATGTGCTAAATATTTTTTTCTTTTTTTGATTAAATATCGAAAAAACAAAAGTGATTTCAACAGAAATTGATTTTGTTGTTTTTTTGTTTTTTATTAATACTTTTTTTTCTATAAGATTTAACGAAGACGGAAGGAAAAGAATACGAACGTGATCATAGAATTTACGTATATTTATGAACTATTATAATGATGATAATAAAGATTACAATATCAGAAGAAAAAAAAAATATTTTGGTAGAGAAGAGCCTGAAGTAAAAATTCTTTGACAATATTAAAAAGAAGACGACGAAAAAAAAACTGTAGTCAAACAATAAGTCATAGATTATCATTTCTTTTTTTTTTTCTACCGAAACCTATAAATAAAATCTTTCAAAGTCTAAGCATGGATTGTTCTTTTTTTTTTGTATAATCATGTCAGAAAAGAAAAAAAGATTTGATAATACAATGAATGACATTGAGAATAGAATTAGGATTCCAAGAATTGAATAAAGAAAACGATAGTACTATTGATGATTGGATGTATACCATAGATAAGAAGTAGAAAGCAACGGAAATCATCGTCGAGTACCGGAGGTTGAATGTAAAGAAAAAAGAAAGAAAATGAGTGGGTGTGGCAGGAATGATGAATCTTATCGGAAATACTAAGAAATCATTGTTTTTTCTAATTTAATATCCTTAAATGAAATTATAAAATTGGTAATCGAACATGTGTCATTTATTATTATTTATAAATTCTAATCTTTTAACAACGATAAAGATTAATTGTCGAATGATATATATATATATATAAAACAAACCATAGAAAATATCTGATTATTATCAACACTTAATCAAGAAAAAAAAGAAAGAAGCAAACCTTTCTTTCTCTTATAAACATTTTAATAAATATAGCACAAGATCATGTTTTGATTCTACAAAAACGCAATAAGTTACTCACTTGACATAATAAGATGAACTACAGTAAAAATTGAAGGAACACTAATATTTATAAGGTCAGCTTATATGTCTGTACCCATTCATAGTGTTTCAGCTTCTAACATTTCCCGATTATTGATATTCGGTACTTCACATTCTGAAATATTCATTAAGTTATCATCAAAAAAAACAATTTTCAAAATAATAGAACTAAAAATTTTCGATACACAGAGTCTATCATCAATTTCCTGTTGAATACAATTCACATACAACATTAATATATGTTACGACATCTTCTATTAAGATTCCATATTTACTGATCTTCTTTAATAATTACGTTCGTTTAAATATTAAAAGGAAAATAGATGACATTCAATATTTTTTTTTTTCTTTTTGCTTTCTTTTCTTTTTCTACTTTATGCACTCGATTAATCTTGTCTTATATAATTGATATTTATTAAAGAAAGACAAATGAATTGTTTGTTATTTTAGCTCATGCTTTTATGCGAATTCCATCATTTTATCATGCATTTCTTATTTGTATACGAACTGTTGAATATAGTGATCCATCATTCCTACTTGACATTGATCCGAAATTGGTAAAAAGAGAAAAAAAAAATTTTTTTCTTATTCTTCTATTCTAATTATTTCATATTCTTTTTTTTTAAAGTCAATTATTGGATTTTATTCTAAAACATCAACAAATAATGTTATAAATCAATCAAACATATTATCAACATCATCACCAATTGTTGTTACAAATAAAAAATTAAATGATGAAAAATTTGGTAAAAAAAAAACATAAAATAATATCTTTTTATATATATATATTATTTTTAAGATTCTCATATAAAACAACGTATACTTCATCGTCGTATACAGAGTGATCCAATATTTTCTATTCCTAAAGATTTAATTAATTCAAATCATTCACGTGTTGCATCACCATCACCAACACCTATTATAGATGATGAAAATCAATTTAAACGACAAACAAATATTCCAAATATATCCTATTTTCAATCAGATGACTATGGTTCATATAGTTCAAGTTATGATTCTCGTATTGATATATTTGATCAAAATAAACAAACAAAATTAACATTAGGACAATCAAATAATTTAGAACAACATAATAATAATAATAATAATCGTCAATCAATATCAAGTGAAATAACATTAATTGATGAACAAAATCATAATAATAATAATAATTTATATACAAATCATTTATCAACTCTTGTTAATAATGATGAAGGAATACTTTCAATTAATTCAACATCACCAATGGATCAAAGTATTACAACATCAACAAATGATTATTCAATACGAAGTAAATTTGAGAAAAGAAAATTTTTCATTTCATCGATTCTTAGTTGATCATAGTCATCATTAATAAATACATTAGAAGTTTTAAGAAGTAAAAGATATCCTGTTTTTTTCTTCTCTATTCACTTACAACTCTAAGCAAATGTCTTTTGTTTTCTATCATCTCTCTCTCTTCATTATTTTAAATTATAATGATATATCTCATCTAATATAATTTCTATATTAGAAGAATGTAATAAGCATTTCATTTCGAGATGTACTATGTCAATTGACTTAGTATAATTAGTAAAGACAAACTACATTGATGTTAGCATGTTCTGACGTATTGAAAAATGTCGCTACAAAAAAAATAAAGGATATTTTCATGAAGCTGTTCAGAAAGTGAAAAGAACCTTGCAAAAAAAATACAAAAGGCATTAAAGTGATGAAACTGACAAAAAATTAATGTATATCAAATTTATCAATTAAAATAGATACTTTTATTAATTGTATTGCATGGTTTTGAGAAATATTTTGTCTGTTTTATTATTAGAAATGTCTTTGATATAAAATTCATGAAAGTCAGGAATTTTCTTTGCTTTTTTTGACACTATGAAGGATATCTTAATATAAAATGAACACCGAAGTTATTGTATGACAATCATATGTGGATTGAAAGTTTAAAGATAGAATAAAAATCTTTTTAATGAATTGAATGTGATGAATTAGAACGAAAATTTTGTACGGGTTCTGAATATTGGCTTACAGAATTCGTCTTGGTTTTTTTTCTTTTTGTCTTCCAGAATAATGAGATAATCATTGAAACAATCAAAACAATAATTTATTTCTATACATTTTTGTAGTTATGCTACTATTTGAGATTTTCAAAAATTCCCTTGACTATATTCAAGTACATCTAGACGCGCTATTTTTAATCCTATAGTCCCATAGGTCAATAAATTTATATCTATCTTCCGACTTGGCACATATAGATAGAGAATTAATGATACTACTATTTAATTCAAAAATATTTTTTCTAATTTGTAAAAACAAAATAAATGAAAATTTATCTATGTAATATTATTATTTATTTATGTATTTCATCAAGAGAAAAAATTATAGCACTAAATAATATTATCACTTAACTAATTTATATATTAAATTAAATTCAATACTCACGTTATTTTTCAAATTAATAGATTATTCGAAAGCAAATATTACAAAACACTAAATAATATGAATAAATGTCTGGTTGTTTTTTTTTTTGATGAGGTTAATATAGTTGAAGGAAATAATTAGAATAAATTTATATTTCATATATAATATTGAATGCCCTGTTTAGTTCCGTTATTTTCTTTATATTGTTGGGTACTGCGTCTGCTCTTTTTTCTTTTCTTTTCTACATACACGTTCGATAATTGTTTAATATGATGCAAGGTATATGATTTCTTTAGAAATATCATGAAAGTCATTATTTTTTACTCTCTAACTTTTGAACTATTTAATTAAAATAAAAAATTTGTTCTTTTTTTTTTTTCAAATAAATTTTTGTTTTCTAGCTCCACGTCTTCCACATTCATCATTATTTTGGCCACGAAAAGGTCAAACATTAGATAATTATATACGTGAATGTGATTTAAAAACTCGAACAGATGTTGAAAAAGTAAAATTTACTTTTATTTTTATAATGAAAATCTTCTAATTGATAAATCATTTTGTTTTTTTTGTACTCAAAACAATGTGCATTGTATAAATTCAAATGAGTTTATAAATATTCGAAAAAAGAGTTCATGTTTCTAGCAGTGACGTATCCAGGATTTTTCAGTATGCTGAATCTTGATTTCCGAGCACGGGACCCAGATGAAACTGATGGGGGGGTGATGTTGGATCCAAATAATGGAATTTTATCAAAAAAAATTTACACTCAGAGTTTGCGAAAAAAATTAGCATTTTCCTGATCCCCCCTCGAGGATTTTTTTGCTGTTAGTAATATCATGGTTTTTAGAATTTCATAGGAAGCTACACCGAATTTCATCGATAGATTTCAAATGTCGTTTAAAAATATGCAACCGTTCAAGAGTTATAACTTTTTGAGTTTTTGCTATATGTGAAAACAATTTTTGCAAAATTTCAAATCATCATAACTCTTGAACGGTTGCATATTTTCAGACGAAATTTGAAATCTATCGATGAAATTCGGTGTAGCTTCCTATGAAATTCTAAAAACCATGATACTACTAACAGCA